GTTCTGGACAATTGAATCTCCTGCAACAACAGTGACATTTTTCACAGAATAATTTGCATGTTTGTTATGCGTTTCTGGCACAGTATGCAAGTTATTGGTGCCACTGGTATTTGATGGAATTTTTTGAACAACAGGGTCTGTTATTGAATTGACATTTGATGGAATTTGTTGCATGACTGGTTCTGTCATTGTATTGTCATTTGATGGTATTTGTTGCATGACTGGTTCTGCTGTGGAATTATTGTTTGCTGGAATTTGTTGTAAGACTTCCGATCTAGTTGTAGAATTTGCATTTTCGGACAAATTCTTATCAAGGTTTAGACCTTTTCTCTTGCTTTTCGACTTATACTTGCGCTTCAAACTTTGTGACTCCGGGATTTTATTACTTGACAGAAAATAATCTGGGTTTTTATCAACTACCCGAATCGACTCTTCGACATCATTCATACTTAAATTATGAGATAAATCATGTTGATTAAATACGTTAGTGTCATCAGACTTCAACTGCTCCGCTGCCGTTACCGTTGAATCAACATGACTTTTGTCTGCGCATTGAATAAGTCTAATAGCTGTAATCAAACTACATTTCTCGTTTTCAATGTCCTTAATACGGGTGTTAAGATCCGATACAACAAGCAACGAATTATTGAGTCTCCCAGATAGCACATCGTTATCTTTCTTAAGTTTAGTATTCTCTTCAAGCAATGCATTGACTAATCGCTCGGAGACAGGCTCAGACCGGGCCTTTAGTTCGTTCAGATCGTCAAGAACATCACTTATTTTAACATTGAGTTTCTCTTCAATATTTCTAATTTTCGTGTCTGCTAGACTAAATCCAGCTTCTACCCCCCTCGCTACGGCCCTGGCTTCCGTAGTCTGATAAGACTTGCTATCAGAAAACTTATCATGGAAATATAAATCGTCTCTATAGCCGATTTTACTCGGAAGACATATAATGGAATCGCCACTCCATGTCTGTAGTTTAAATTGCAAAGCTAGAAAGGTAAGGGCACGAATATACAATTGGCCTCAGCCTCATCGCTTTTCTCCTCGTTAAAGTGACAGTAGTAAGTTTTTATTATCACGACCTGGCTTTCGCGTCACTTTCTCAGCGGTGGGAACATGGGAAAACAGTATTTCCGGAAACAAGGTACTGCCAATGAATCTCTACCATTTATTTAAATTTTATGAGAAAATTAACTATTTGAGTATAATGGAAAATTTACTAAAAGATTTGGTAAATTTGAAATTTCACTAGAAAATATTAAGTGTGCGTACATTATTTATGCTGAGATTTTTTAGTCAAAATATTCACGGATTCGTTGCAGCAATCGCAATGTGTCCGAATAATCCTAGTTTGTGCCGGATCTACGATTTGACAATAGTTACTAAATCAGACGATATCAGTTGTTGACACAATAAATATTATTAAGATTTGGTAGAATACAATTTTCCGGCGATTGTTTTACACAGTGTCGTTCTTTCAGTTCATTCTAAATTCGCTTTCAATTCTCTTGTTTCTCCGCCAATTTTTGCCTTAACATAGAATTTGCCCTCCCTACCAAAAAATAAATGTCCATCCGGAAAGTTGTCCGCGTCATAGTCATACAAAAATATTTTGCTACCAGCTGAGGAATGATCCCTTCCATATTTTTCGATAAAACGCTTTGCGATAGGACAAGTTGGTCGAGCATATAGCGCATTACCAAACGATAGTCTGGAAAAGAACCAGAGTTAACGATTTTTGCCGCCATTTCGCCTTTTATTCTGAGATTTTTTTCCTGTTCATTTGGTAAATTGTATTTGTTCAAATTACTGTGTATAATCAATACTTTGTTTTTATCTGTTTCGCTTTTTGCTACAAACATATCACATCCGGTAAGATCAGCAGTGAAGAACCACTTTGCAATTTTCCAATCCCAAGACATGAACGTATGACCATTTTCTGCGAACGGTAAACGATATGTTAGTTGATTATCACATGGCGAGAAATTCCAAATACCCGCTTCTTCAAGGTCATCAGTTTGGGTAATAATATCAATTTGTAATTCTTCGTCCTTGTCTAATCCAATACGATATGGCCTCGACTGCTCATACTTAATAACGGGTTCATCCCCCGCGACTTCGACTTTCGTTGGAGTTAATATTTCACGGTTGGCAAGATTATGCGAGAGTAACATCACCGTTTTTTTCGTTCCTCTTTTTGGCCTCGGCATTAGATTTTCTAAAGCGTTTGATTGGGACTGTCCTCGATGACAACAGAACAGATCGGGAAAACAGCTCTTTTTACTCCATGTAATTGTTGCAGCTTGGTTGCTTGGTATGCACCCCAATGCCAAACAAGTGATCAAAATACTCAGTACAAAAACTCTCATGTTTGCATAAAATCAGGTGTGAAGTTCTACAATAAAAAATAAGTCTATATAACGTTATTCTATAAGTAATTTACAACTATTTACCTTAGTGGAGGTAAATAGTGCAAGGACATTCACCAACACGCGAAGCGTTGAAGTGAATATGCTTGCACTATTCGCTGACACTGAAGTGAATGATTGTTTTAGTGAGTGTGTGTATGTGTGTGTGGGGGGGGGGAGAGGGGGGGGGGTTAACCCTCCAGTCTCTAACTCGTCGGGTATATCATGCATACGATTCCGTCGGGCAAATGTTAAAAATATTTTATATATATGCAATGCTTGCCACACTCATCAGGTGAATTTAAATGTAAATTCACCTGATGAGTGTGGCAAGCATTGCTTGTCATACGAAACAAGTTTGTAGTGAATAAAATCTTATGAAGTAAACCAGGTTTATTTTATCTTTATCTCTCTCTAGTCTATATATATATATATATATATATATATATATATATATATATATATATATATATATATATATATATATATATATATATATATATATAATTCAGTCAAGGTTTGAATGTTTGCGTCGCTATACTCTGAGTTTCGCGCTTTACGCGATCATCAGGCAACTGACAGATATTATTCGATATTCATAATAAATACAGGTTATCACTTTACAACTTCATTAAGCAGGTGTCTGGTTACATGTCTACATTTGGAAAACAAGTCAGAGCGTTTGTTCAGGCATTCCGTTTTCTTCGCTTTCATAATGAGTAGTTTCTCTTCGAGGCATTAATTGCACCGTTTAGATCCTGGTTTGTATGCTTTGACTTTCTCCATAATGTACTGACTGTTTTCTGACTTCAGTTTCCAGACGTACTTGGACAGTTCGGTCAGACAGGGGCGGATCTGGTGTAAGTCCAATCAGTCGCGTGACTGACGTATTTTTGCAAAGAAATAATTAATTTGTTATTTTGAAATTTGAATAATTAATTCCCGAATGTAACATAAAATTCATATCTTAGTCCAGTATACGTCTTTACGAGCTCAGTTTTGAATAAATATATGCTTTATCTAGAGCAGCGGTAAAACGCAATAATCTCACAGAATCGGGTGGTCGTTATGCTCATTTGATTGGTCGATAGGTCATTTGGACTTATCTCGACTGATCTGTGGGATGGCCGGACTGATTTGCGCTTTAAGGGAGTCTTTATCAGTCCATCTCTTTCCCTTTGATTGCTCAATTTGAAAATATTGGGGGGGGGGGGTCGGACTGATTTGCAACTTAAGGGAGTTTTATGGGGTGGTCCGACTGATTTGCACTTTAAGGGAGTTTTTATCAGTCCATTTCTTTCATTTTGATTGGTCAATTTGAACTTATTGACAATTTCTATTGGTCAATTATTTTGGACTGATTCGGACTTATTCGCGGTTGGGGAAATCAGTCCTTGAAATTTGCGAAATTCATGCAAAGCAGTCTTTCATATTCCCGTATATGAAGGTTTTTCATAGTTGGGAGAATTATTTTACGATGTCGAGTATTTATATGTACGCGGCCGATTTTACGAGACGATTTAACGGCCTTTAATAAACTTGAATTGTTTCTGAATGAGGATTATTGTGGGGCAGCTAAGATATCAAGGGAGCAGCTGTTATAATGTTGTTCTGTTCAACAACGAGAAGGCACTAAGTTGGGACTTCTCTGCTACGTGCTTCACAAAGATCATGGTCGTAATTTGGGTGGTAAAGTCAAAGGGAAAGTGTGCACTGCTATAATGTATGAAAATATCCAAAATTATGAAACAGAAATTAATATATTGCAATGTATCTTGTATGATAAATGCAATGTTGAAATATAACACGCTTTAATACATTTTTACTCTTAGTCTATAAACTGTGTTGCAACTTACGATGCGCTTTCCGGCCTTATAGCTTTCCTGCTGTATTTATAATTTATAACTGCATCGCCCATTATAAAAAGGGCCAGAATAGAGCATTGCCATTGGAGTGTTAAAACAATATCATTTGGATGATTTGCATTGCATGAAAGATTTGCGATGAATATCGTTTATAATAATACAAGTGATATTTATAGCATATTGTAATTCATTGAATAAAAAATGCATTTTACAAAGTATAATTGAAATATTACTCTTTATTTTGCTCGAGAATTTTGATTCACAAACAGCGAGTTATATTGGATCGGTCATTGGTACCAAATCGCTTCAATTTGCGAAGGATTTCATGAGCCAAACTCAAAGGCTTTTGATAGTTGAAACTGCACGATGTGTTTTGTAATATGACCCTCCGTTAGTAAATCTAATTCCGAGGACTGGGAGAAGGCACGTTTGTGAGATCATAAAAAACCCATGCGCTTGATATACTTTATAATCTTTGGAATTCTGCAAAATCTCACCGCCAAAACGCTTGAAATCGCATTTCAGTGACTCTGGATTTCAAAATTTTCTGGAGGGGACATGCCCCCAGACCCCTCTAGCATGGCTAACGCCTTCGGCGTTCGACTTATGTTTGAAAAATCCTAGATCCGCCCCTGGGTTCGGTTCGGTGTTGTTTTTGTATTCCTCATATCGGAAAGACTTAGTGTGATTGCGGTATCTTGTTTTGAAATCGCCCGGCGTGATGCCAATGTATATTTTCTTTTCTTTTTCTGACTTATTTTCCAAATGTAGACATGTAACCAGACACCTGCTTAATCAAGTTGTATTGAAGCTGTATTTATTATGAATATCGAATAATATCTGTCAGTTGCCTGATGATCGCGTAAAGCGCGAAACTCAGAGTAGCGACGCAAACATATAAATATATATATATATATATATATATATATAATAATTTAATATTTTAATACAATTTTTTAATTGAATAAGTTGCTACTTTAAGTTTCATGCAACAAGGATTGCTTGTTGCATGAAACTTAAAGTAGCAACTTATTCAATTAAAAAATTGTATTAAAATATTAAATTATTATAATATGCTCTACAATTGTCTTGTATTGAGCACTCTTTATTCTGAAAAACGGGAAATTACTTTATGAAA